AGATCAAGAGTCACATGCTCTCCCAACTGGGCCAGCCAGGAGCCCCAGTTTTGTTGTTTCCTTTGATAGGCAGAAGCTTTTTTATTTTGATGTAGTCTTAATAGTTTACTTTCGCTTTTGTCTCCCTTGCCTCAGGAGACGTTCCTATGGCCAGTGTCAGAGAAATGACTGCCTGTACTCTCTTCTAGGATTTTTATGGTTTCAGGTGTCACATTTAGGTCCTTAATCCATTTTGAGTTTGTTTTTGTATATGCTGTAAGAAAGTGGTCTAGTTTCATTTTTTGCATGTTGGCTATCCAGCTTTCCCAACGTCTTTGTTAAAGGCGCTCTCATTTTTTTTTTTAACTTTGAGAGAAAGAGAATGAGAGGGAGAGAGCATGAGCAAGGAAGGGGCAGAGAGAGAGAAAAACCCCAAGCATGCTCTGCGCTGTCAGAACAGAACCTGATGCGGGGTTCAAACTCACAGATCATGACCTGAGTGGAAATCAAAGTTGGACGCTTAAACGACTGAGCCACCCAGGTGCCCCAAGGCTGTCTTTTTTTCCCCATTGTATATTCTTGCCTCCTTTGTCGAAGATTAAATTGATCCTATGATGGTAGGTTTATTTCTGGGCTCTCTGTTCCGCTGATCTGTGTCTGCTTTGGGCACATTGTTTTACTATAGCTTTGTAGCACATCTTGAAATCTACAATTGTGGCACCTCCAGTTTTGCTTTTCTTTTTCAAGGTTACTTTGGCCATTCAGAGTCTTTTGTGGTTCCATACAAATTTTGGGATTATTTTAGTTTTGTGAAAAATGCTGGTGGTATTTTGGTAGGGATTGCATTAAGTCCATAGATTGCTTTGAGTAGTACAGACATTTTAACAATATTTATTCTTCCTGTCCATGAGCATGGAATTTTTCCATTTGTTCATGTCATCTGCAATTCCTTTCATCAGTGTTCTGTAGTTTTCAGAGTACAGGTCTTTCACCTCCTTATGTTTATTCCTAGGTTTTGTTTTTGGTGCAATTGTAGATGGGATTTTTTGGGGGGGGGGATTATTAATCTTTCTGCTGCTTTATTATTAGTGTGTAGAAATGCAATGTATTTCTGCACGTTGATTTTGTATCCTGTAACCTTACCAAAATCATTTATCGGTTCTAGTAGTTTTTTGATGGTCTCTCAGGTGTTCTATATAATAGTATAATGTCATCTGCAAATAGTGTGTGTTCCTGTTTTCTTATCAACTTGGATGCCTTGATTGCTTTTTCTTGTCTGATTGCTGTGGCTAGGACTTCCAGTACTATGTTGAATAAAAGTGGTAAAGAGTGCACATCCTTATCCTGTTCCTGATCTTTAGAGGAAAGGCTCTCACTTTTTCACCATCGAGTATGATGTCTACTATGCGTTTTTCACATACAGCCTTTATTAGGTTGAGGTATGTTGCCTTTAAACCTACTTTGTTAAGGGTTTTTAATCATGAATGGATTAAATGGTACTTTGTCAAATGCTTTTTCTGTGTCTATGGAAATTATCACATGGTTCTTATAAGTTCTCTTGTGGATGTACTGTATCACGATCGATTTGCAAATATTGAACTATCCTTGCATCCTGGGAATGCAGCCAATGGTCTTGATGCTTCTGAACTTCGAGCCTCAGTGGTGACCTATGTCTGGGATGACATTTTGTCAGGTGTTTCCGTCGTTGGCCGGAGTGGATTTATTTTCCTCATTAGTAGGGTCACACTCGGCTATTGGACACCTTTCTATTTGGAGATAAACATGAAGATTTTGGAATTCCGAGCCCAGCACTAGGTACCAGGTGATCTCTGGCAAGCTGCTGAGACTCCGTTTTCATGTCTACGAAATGGGAGTAGGAACTACAGAGCTGTCACGAGGGTCATTGGTCTAACTAGCTGGATGGCCCTGGGCAAGTTACTATCACTAACCTGTTGCTTTAAGTCCCTCATGTGGGACGTTGGGTTTTGGTACCGACCTGAAAGGGCCGTTGTGAAGATTAATAAATGTGTACACGTCGACTGCTTCTGATGACACGGTCTAGCACGGTGGCCTGAAGTTACTGTCGCCAGCCTTGGAGGTGGGGAGTATCAAACGAGGCCACGTGTGTGTGCGTGCATGTGCGCAGAGGACAGAAGGGGAAACGATCGTTCTGTTGATTGGTTGGGCTGGGCTCAGACCGAAAAGATCCCAATGTTGAGGAAACGGCTTCACCTAGGAGTCGGCACCGGTGAGTGCGCTCCTGGGGGGCCCAGGATGCTGGTGCTGCGGTGTGAAAAAGACCTCTTTGGAAACAGGCAGAAGATCCTGGAAGATAGAGGAGGATAGGGAAGAGGGAAAGAATGGCACGCTCACCACTCTGTTGTTAGGAAAAGTTTTTTCCATTTAATACTAGACTTTCAAGGATTGAGATGCAAGCTTTTTCTGCAATTACATCCAATGTTAAAATTGGTAATACATAATTTACAAAGATTAACATCAAAACAATCATCTATTTAGATATGCTTTTGTAAAAAGGAAATATATTAGCAGCATTTATATTTTCCGCAATCACACGGCCTACAGACATGCAGACTAACTCTGGATCTATTCGCAGCGATGTAGTGCGTTGCCCCGCATTTCAAACACCAAAACCCGCCTGGCAGCTAGGGGGTTCTTTTTATTTCATTATTATAAAATAACCGAAAAATAAAAAAAGGCATTAATTTCTACACCAGTAAGAAAAAACAAGTTTTTGCACTTACCTAACATTTGATTGTCTAAAAAACATTTCAGTTTTTAGTCTTTCAACAAAAGAAAGATAAAATGACAGAGCGTAGTGTCTTTTGCTTCTGTTCTCACATTTTACAAAGTTTTTTTCTTTTTTCGTCTTTTTTAAAATTTTAGTGTTTAACACTATTCAAGGAAATATTGAATTTTAATCTCTTTCTTGTCATTTTCCTGCTTTTGACTAAAAGGAGACCCCCCCCCC